TTTGCTTTTTGCTTTGCTCTCTTCTCTCAGTCTCTGCTTCTTTCTGGGACCACAGGACTTTCCCTCCAGACTTCTTCAGGCTACAAAATGCATTAAAAAGATACAGCTTCCTCTTATTCACACTTACAGGTCCCTTATGTAAGAAGCAGGAAATAATAAGAAGCCTTTACATGGGTACCTGCAGAAGATGGGAAAAATATGGGCTGAGGCATCATAAAACAAATGGAGGCAACCCAAAGCTGTTTGTCACCTGCAGAAGATAAAACTGCTGCAAAGACAGATCTATCTATTATGGATCTATTATTCATCATGTTTTATTGGAGACTGTATGTGATCATTAACCAATGCCAAAATTTAACATAAATGTCAGGCAGTATCACCACAAGAGTAGTTGTAGAACATTTTTAAGTTCAGTTCCCGATTTTGATTGCAGCTTTAGCAAGTCTTCCTTTTGGCCATCTCTTTGCCTTTCCCCTTCCTTTAAACTGTAAATAAAACTAAAAGTCACTGCGATATGCGTGAAGAAAAAGAGTGTTTTGTAGGCACTACAGCAAATAAGAAATATGAAATAGCCGTTCACTTTTTAATGCTGAAACTAGAGAAAGGTACACGGAAAATCCTGTACCCTTTGAAGCATAGGAAATATATGTGCCTTTTCTTCTTGCACTTTTGAAGACATTGCTCCTTCAGTTGCAGGCAGACGTTACAATGGATAATGGAAAATAAACAGGATTCACATTCTTGGCACTCAGTCAATTAAAAGAAATACCAATTGCGTTCTGCGAATATTCCCAGGGTGCCAAACCATCAGAGGAGTTGGTGAGTAGGAGGAGTGAAGGTGTGATAATTGAAAGAATTGCTGCTTGATAAGTCACAGGAGCTAATGTGTTAGCTCAGCATGCAGGGAAGCTAGGACGTTCCCAGCTGCCGCAAAAACTGGGTGTATGCGATCCCTGGCACCACTCGTTGGGACAAGATGAATCACAAGCACTTTGGTAGCGAGCTACCATGTCACAGGGAGCCAGATGGAGGTGGTTACTCCCCTGATTGATTGCCTCGTGGGCTACCAAGGGCTTTTCCAGCAGGCTAATGCCTTTCTGTTGGCACTCAAGCACCCGGGAGCAGTGTGTCCGCTTGGGTCAGCCACCATGCAGGAATTCCTGCCTTTCGGGTGCGTGGCCACCCCACAGAGGGAGGGAGGTAAATAAGGAGCAAGGGGGAGCAGGTGACTTCAACACCCACCGAAATAACCCCGACTTCCGATGCCTCCCTAATAGATGTTGCTGCTAATGAATTTTCAGGCACGTGCTGAGTTAATGGGGGTGAGAAACACTGAAACATCCTTTAGTTAAACCCAGCGCTTTACAAAGGCTAATTGAAAAAGGAAGGAGCAGCGGGGCAGGGGGGGAGAACAAGGCGGAAGAGGGGGTGGAGGGGGAGAACAGCTCTATTTTTCAAGTGCTGAATATGAAATCCCTGCAACAGATGAGTTTACATGCAAGCCTGCACCTCATCAGGGCAAAGATACAGTGAGTGGAGTCAAGTAATTTTCCTCTGCACACAGCATCCCCAGCCCCTTCCCCTGCCCAGCCAGCTTTCTCAACTGTGAGCTTTAGAATATAAACAGAAAATAAGTATAAAGCTTCATTACAGAACAATGGAGTTAGCTGCCAGAGCCTACAGATTTGAATAAACAACAAATAAGCAACATCTGCTCCAGCATATGTGTATGGTAAAAAAAAAGTCACAAAATAAAAGAATTTGTAAATGCCAAAAGCAACACTAAACTGCCAGTGCTACTGTAGAGTGAATTTTTAATTGCACATGCATACAGGCAGGCTGTGGGTATTAGTCTCACATATGTCTGGTTGCTGCCAACCTGGGAGTATAGATGAATTTAATTAAATAAGGATTATCCCTTCTCCCCAGTACAATTACTTATTTATAACAATGATAAAATTGCCTAATAAAAAAGATTGTAATATTTTTTAAAACAGAGCTAGAAAACACTCTGCTTTCCCTGTAAGTCATTCAGGGATGTTTGGGGGGTTTGAGCGTCTTTTAAAATTAAGTCTCAGCATTCTGCCAAGAGAGAGGGAAAAAAAGCCTTATCATAAAGCCTACTGCAGTTAAACAGCCAGAATCTACATTATGGAGAAATATAAAGAAGACACACAGCAGCCAGGGAATTGGCTTTCATGGGGAGTGTAGAAAATTGAGCAATTGGACTAAAATTGAGGCCAGGCTACAGAGCCAAGGGACAATACCACTGGGACAAGTACTTCCATAAGTCACCCGCCTCTAATATGTTCCATCTAGGCAAAGCAGGCTGTTCCTATCTCTCTCTATTTCTTCTCATCGTGGGTGCCTCACACTTTCCTGCTCAGGTGAGCTCCCGTTTCAGCAGGGTCATGTCAGGCTCTCACATCTTCATCATCACTCACACCCTTTCTGACAGAGCCCACAACCAAAAGAGAGTGGGCCCTTATGGTATCAGGCACTGCATGAACCTTGAAAAATAGGCAGCCTGTGCCCCAGGGAATTTGGAGGCCAAATCTAATTTCAGGCATGCTCTCCTGGGAGCTGAGGTTTTCCTTGTGTAGGCTCCTGATGGACTCCATTTCCTCCTGCTTATGGGTCTGAGCCACATTCTGCTGAATTATGTAGGAAACTTCTTAAGATCTAGGTATTAGTCACTGCTAACAATATTATGTTCACAACTGGCAATTTTTAGACTGTTTCCATGATGTTCAGCAAGTTGAAGTCGCAATAAAACTCCCATGGGTATGGAGGGGTACTCCATTTAAAAACAGTGGGAAAAAGAGAAAGAATATGAAAAAAAGGCCGGTAAAAAAAGGCGGAAATCTCCACTTTAAATTTAGGCCAAGCATCAATGACACTAAAATGAGAGAGAGAGAGAGAGATTCCAGTGTTTAAACAAAACTCTAAAATAGTATTATGGCTCTGCAAAGGCATAAATATTATATAAGTTCAGTAAACTTGTATGATTTTGATTGATCACTTAACTGGCTGACAGTATTACTGGACTTAAAAACAAATAAATACTTTCTGTGTTTTCTGTCATGAAATTACTACTAAATACATGCTTATTCCTATGTCTTATGAGTATTCAGGGCATACAGTTATTTTTTCCCCTTACATTGTGACCGATATACCTATACAATTTGCTACATCCTTTCACTAATGCCCTTCATCTTTAAATAGCACAGTCATTTTTTAGAGACGGACAAAGAAAGGAAAAAAGCATTTGTGGGTATGTTATTACATTTTGAATTTTTTCCCCACTGGGCTATGTCCACGTTCACTTTTTTAAATTTCTCACTGAATGTTTGTCCAAATGGTGTTTTTCACTGCACCAGCCCTGGGGAATTGCTATTCTTTGCATACATACTGCTATGAGAAAGACTATGGGTATGGGGGCTTGTCTTTGTTCATGAAGATCAAGACATCCATCAGAAAACAAAATCAAAGTAACCTCATGTAACTCAGGTGACAAATCATGCAGTCTGAATAGCAACAAGGGCCTGACCTTAAGTCCCAAAAGTCACTGGAGCCACATGCTGACAGACTGGACACATACAAGCCTGCCAGAAGATGTGGTAAGAACAGTTGAATGCCACAGATATGCAATCTATTACACAGTTTTAAAATAAAACCCTAGCAAAACAGCAAATGTCCACTTACAGATAATTTGAAAACAAAAATAAGCCATCCAGAATTGGGGAATTCATGCTATACTCCATCACCTTTACTTAGCTCTAGGATTTACCAGGAAAACTGCACACACTTTGATGAAAACACTAGCCTCACTGAAGCCAGTAGGACTTGTGCCACGGCCTTCAACAGCTCATGATTTCGCTCCTGCAAACCCAGCTGTCACTCCAGCCAATGGCATCTGCCAATGACCAGCAACAGTGGATATCTGAATTATTTTTTTTAGATACTTCTGTATGAACTTGAGTTGCTTAATTATTTGTGAGGGCTCACCAAACTTTCACCTTTGTCCCTCTCTATGTGCTTCTTGCTACGTATTAGTTTTCACATAAAATTTGTGTCCCATTTAGAAAAAAAAAAACAACAAAACAATAAAAAACCCACCTGCCAGTCGGTATTAGTTTTCATATAAAATTTGTGTCCCATTTAAAAAAAAAAAAAACAACAACAAAACAATAAAAAACCCACCTGCCAGTCATGTTTTAAACACTGGTTAGCAAGGGTCCCTAGAGAGTAAGGCCAACTGCTCCCTGCTCCGGAGGCTGAACAACCATTTCCCCAATACCGCCAGCCCTGACAGCAAACGCTTCTCAGGATCCAAACCTAGATTGCCCCAAATGACAGCATAACATCTGGTCTAACAGCTTTGTTTTTAATCCTTTCATAGACTCTTCAAATAACTTATTTTCTAACACATGATTCAATTCTATGTCAGCTCATGTGGTAATATAATGAGCTCATAAGTGATATAGGAGACTCAGATGACGAGGTAGAAGACATGCTGCCACCAGAACGTCCTGGTTGCACGGTCCTGGTTGAGTTGGGTACAAGTGGCTGCAGAGCCACTACCTCCAGTCTCCTGGTTGACTTACCTCCGAAGGATGTGAGATTTGATGCGTAAGGGGTCATCTGAGTCTGACAAATAATTCACCAAGCCGGAGTAAAGCTTTGGTGTCACTTGGAAGAGTAGAGAGGTCTGCCTAAAGCATCAGACAGGGACCCCACACACTCAAAGCTGTGCATGCAAGGTATCCTTTTCATGTGCACTCATTACGTTTCCCTGACAAGCTGAGTTTATTTTACAGCCCTATGATTTATTAAGTCATGTCACCTAGACTGCCATGTCTAGATTAATGCATCCAAATGTCAGAGGTGATGGGAGCAGAGAGGGAAAACTTATTGTTAGGATAAGCTTCAGAAGCAGCTATGTGGGAACAGTGTTTTAAAAACAAAACTGACCAAATTGTCTGTTTCTTAACACTCACCTGAAGTGGTGTCAGGAGCATTTCCACACACAGTTTCATCCTCAAAACTCTGAATCTGAAAAGGAAAAGAGGAGGAAAAAGTCTTGCTGATGGTAATGATTATGAGTGTACGACTTATTATGAGGGGGGTTAGGAGTAAAAGCAAACAAACAAACAAAAAACCCTGGACATTGCAAAGTGAAAATATAAAACCTTTCAGATGGTTCCTTTTTGGTTGTCTCCTTTTCAAAATATTTGTTCTTGTCATAAACCAGGCCCTAGTCTCAGAACCTTACTAAGCCTTGCTTAAAGTAATCAGTACATAAAGGTTCCCAACACATAAATAACACTAATAATCTTGTTTGAACAGCCTCAGAGAAATGTCCCTGGAAAAAAATATGACTTAGTAGAAGAAGCCCAAGGAAATGTAACCATACGGAGGCAAATTCTTGCCAAAGAGCATATGTAAGGTCAGAATTCTTTTTCCTCTAGGAATGAAGACCCATTTGACTTTTTCGTAGTATCAAGGGGAACATCGTGGCATGGTGCTGCATAAACTCCTTCAGAAAAAAAAAAAAAACTTAATAGAAAAAGGGATCTATTAGATAGAAGTAACACACGAACGTGCATGTTGGGTGTGTCCTCCATGCAGTCTGTAGCTTAAGAGATCTCTAAGCCCCTCATTATCAAAGGCTGGAAGAATACAAGAGAAGGATCGCTCTACACGTGCCTGTCACTCTGTTCCCCTTACATCTGCTACTGGCCACTAACAATTTAGGTGGCCTGATGGTTTCAGCCAGTACACAGTTCTTACAGCCCTAATTTAATGATGTGGTAGAGAATACTCAGAAGGTAAACAATATATACCCTTTCTAATTTGAGCACACAGCATTCACTGAGTTGTCTTACACAACAAATTGGGGAGTTTGCGATCATCTGCATTTACTGCTCTGTCAATGTCCTCACTTTTGCATGAGCCTCTTTTCACAGAGCTCCAAGTCCAGCATGCTAAGTGCTTTACAAAGACATATGGGCTGCTTTGGGACTATAAATTTCCTGTGCTGGAGAACTCTGAAAGGCACCCTCTTCCCCACCGAGGCTGATAATCAGGCTCGTGCTCTGATTCTTGAGTCAGCTCTGCGGACATGAAGGCTGCACCAAACCTTTCACAGAAAAGTACACCTTTGGAAGGACTTGAAAAGTTAAATATCCTTTCCTCAAGATGAATGCCACCACCTTAACCTGGCCTTTTCCAATGCTTTAAAAAATGGAAAACTTTTTTTAAGCCTCCCACCTTTTCCAGCCACTTGCTGCTCCCTCCCTTCCTTCCCTCCCATGCTCCATATGTTTTCAGGGGGCTGCCAAGCATCCCATTTCTCCTCCATTCTTAGATTCTTACAGTAGAGACTAATTTTTGGACTCCTTCCTTTTCCTCATTCTTGAACGATGGCTGGAATTCCTGTCAGCATCCCACTGGAGTCTGTACAATTGAAAAGTATCCTCCCATAGCCCTTTTTCTGCAGTAGTACAGCCAAAAAAACCTGCTGCTCACAAAATCTACGTGTATCTGCACACAAATCTAGATGTAAGAAAGGGACTGGCAAGTATCCTGGTCTCTGCTACTTCATGTTGAACCCCCCACTGACAACCCACTGTTGCTAAAACATACAAAGAGCTGAGTATCACGGACTTTGCAGACTGGATATGAGAACAAGCTGCTGTTCTGAGTTATTCTGGTTTTAGGATGCTCAGCTTACAGAGCGATAAAATATTTCAAACACTGCTATAAAACCAAGGCTAATTTTGTGATGCAACTTTCTGAAAGAGCATGCCAGAAAATGAGCTTGAGGGAAAAAAAAAAAAAAAAAAGATAGGGAAAAAACCAACCCTGATTAATGACTGGAGCTGTAAAAATATCCTTTACCATATGTATTAGTGTTCCTGCAACTTCCTTCTATAAAAAACCGCCAACCTAGCACTGCATAAAACACATTGGTATCTTACACTATCTACTAGTTGAATGAATCTTACCTCAGTAACTTCACTGCCAACTTCTTTGACAGTATCCTAACATGTAGACAATTTAAAACAATCAAAACCCCAATGAGAAGTGTAAATCATACTGTTTTCCCTATAATGCTGTTGCATGCTGTTTGTTGAAATAATTTACTCTAGCTTCCATCTTGAAAAAGAGAATCCAAACTTGTACCATCAATATGGGTGGAGATACATTGCTAGCACAATATACAAAAATCCGCCTCACCTCTTCCATTTCAAATGAGTCTGGAAGCTTGTAGTTTAGGTCAACCACTTCTCTGAGCGTGTGGGCCACAAGCAAAGGTGGCTCCTTTCTTGGCCTGTCTTGGGCAGGCACATCGCATGCCGGAGAAAGGTGGGGCTGTTTTGCAACTAGGTGCGATGAAGCCCAGGCTTTCCCTGATGGAGTTGGTGGGCACCAGGACGTGGGATATGCCGAGGCACCTTTGTCTCTGGGGATTTGCTCCTGGGTCAGACAGCCCAATGTAACACCTGCAGAAAAGCCTGACTGGACTGTTCCACTCTCAGCAATATCAGCACAAAAACAGGGCTGCTCTTTCCTGATGGGCAAGTTGGCTTCCCCAGGTGCCAGCAAGCCCTGCTTCAATAGCATTGACTGCCGAGAAGCCCTTTTCAGGAGCTGACCTATTCTTCTCCGCTTCGCTCGTGTGACAGCAGGTCTGCTCTTCGCAGCGTCCAGGAGACTGGTCTCATCCCTGCTGGTGCCCTGTGCTGTGGTCTGTTGGGCGTTGACGTCAGTCAGCAAAGATGAGAGGGCACTAGTTACGTGGTCAAGTACTTCCAGCTGTCGAAAACGTTCTTAAGTTGGGTAGAATGGAAGGCAACATGGTTATTAAAAAATATAATTTGAAATAATCAGGTACAATGTTTATTCAAACTTGTCATTGCCAAGAAACATACTAAGTACCTCATTCAAAAGTGGCTAAATTTTTCCATTTGCTTCCAGAGGATCCATTCAGGTTACATACAGACATCACTGCATAGTTCTTTATATTAGACAAACACTTACACAATGTTGAATTAGTTGGGTCAAGTACAGCTGCATACTGCTCTGTGGGAATAAATGTTACAGATTCCAGCCTGAAATTCTCCTGTTGGCTGGGTCAGACTTAGATGCCATTTTTGAGGACTTATTAGAATTCATATGAATAAAGTTATTAAAACCTGATCTCGAATGTTTACAGCTGGCAGCTGTCCAGGATAATTGCAAAATGCATGTAGCCATTAACTGATAAAAACTGACCACAGAAGCTATGTTCTCATTTTCATAGTAGCACAACACAAAACACTTATCTCCCATAAACTCATCGCTGATATCTTATAAAGGTTCCCAGATTTTTTTCATCGTACTAACCTCCTGTAATTTCTGGGTCATTTTTAACATGGCTTAACAACTATGGAGAAGCAAATAATGTTTTCTCTAAAGGATCTTGGAGATTTCCATCACTACAACACTATGAAGTTATTTATACAAAGAAACGCCACATGTTTGCTCACACATTGTGTCTGGACCTATCCTGAGGCAATTAATGTGTCACCAGGACTCCTCCTTCCTTGAGAGATTCATTGAGGACAGTAGATGGCAAAATGCTAACTTTCTTGGCTGCCATTTCTCTTAGAGAGCAGCCAAATTTACTGTGTGCAGTCTGCATGCAGGCTGTTGGTATCGCTGCTTCACTGACAATTAGACAACAAGGGGATATTTAATGTGGATCTGAGTTGGTCCTTTGCATCGGGGACCAATGCTGTGACATATAATTCCTGATAGTTACTATATCTCAAGAACATGCCTTTTTTTCTTTGCCCCAGGCATTGCCTGATTTTTAACGCTGGAGGAAAATGTTGCCATTGCTGCTGCTTTTTAAGATATGGTCAAAGGTTTCACCTGATGTTGTTTAAAGGAGTTATCTGACCTATCAGTACATACATTACACAGTATTGTACAGTTTCATTTGCATAAGCTTGGGGTGTCAGACTAAATAATTTTTGGTTTTGTACATCCATCGTGCTACCACATGCTCTCCATGTAAAGCACATTTTATCCTCAGTATTTCATTTGGCTCCCACTATGTCAGGCCATAAAAATGCCAAGTGCTAATCTCCTTTGACTGACAATGACACAGCAGTCCACTCCTTTTGATTTGAACCAGAATCAAACTTGCTGCAATTTGAAATAGTTTTTACACACTGCTTAGCTTTTGTAAATTATTTCAAAGAGCTTGGGACACCTAAAGAACAATTCAAACAAGAGAAATGATAAATGAACAACACTTAAAAACTCCCCTCACTCATGTGCAATGTAATAAATACATAGGTCATGATGAAATTATGTCAGGGAGAGCCTTGCTTCATGGACTATTTCTCTCCAGGCAAGCAGTGCTTTCAGTTTCTAGGCATGCTCCCCACGGATCACACCTCAAATAGCCAAGAGGCTGATAAGATCTCTTTAGTCCCTGCAGCCTGCTGCAAAATAGCCTAAAACTGCAGCACAGATGAGATATTAAAGGACAGAAACATGGATTCATTTTCATTAGCAGCTTCAGCCGAAACAGCAAATGGCCGTGCTGTAAACAAGATCAATGAATCTTCAATAGAATCTGTATCTTTTATAGAGCTTCTAATGACTTTATGATCAACTGTTTTATAATTTAGGAGGGGAAGCTCACAGTTTTGTTCCTCTTTCCTTAAATCTGGTATTACATAGGCTGACATAGTTATCGACATAAAAGACTTGGAAAGTCTTCAGTAGACCCACAATGGAATGAAGGAACACAGAACATTTCCAGAGTCAGCAAGAGATTTTCAATCAGAATGGTTTTTTTCACAGCAAAGGGTAGAATTTGGAAAAAAATCAAAATTTTCAGTGGGAAAATCAAGACATCTGAAATTGCTCGGGTTTTTCTTGGGAAAAGTAAAAAAGAAATTTCAGCATTGTCTACTTTGTCATGTATTAAAATATTTACCTTTTTTTTTTAGATTGTTTCAACTTGAGTCTTGGCAATACTGCCTTTGCTTGAATCAAAGCTGTACTTCAGAGAAAACATTTAGCAATTTACATCTCATTTCTCTGCTAGGGGTGGATTTACTGGCTGACATATCTCTCCTCTCTCCTAGCTGACCTGTGGTGGTCACAGGACAACCACATATCATGGGAAATGGTGTCTACCTAATACACTCATTTCACAGAGGAGAGTGAGACTTGAACTACAGGTCCAGTGAGAGGTTTGCAGCAGCTGAGACAGACAGAAATGAGTGTGAAAGATCCACAGAAACAAGACACCAAACCCCATGCAGATTTAGATACGGCAGTAGGGGAAGGTGGTACTGAAATATGGTAGGTATTAAGTGTCAGACTGAAATGGTTCAACATTTCTGAAATAAGATGCTCAGAAACATGAAGTTTTCAAAGAATTTGGGTATCAACATATTCAGAAATATAATTACTTTTCACTTAAGATAACTTCTGATTGTCAAGTGACTTTATTTCTTCAGTTAGAAAGTCAAATACCACTTCTAAAAAGGTCAGTGAAATTTTCACCACTGATAAACAATGGGGATAACTTTCCTTTCTGATCTGGCTAAGAAACTGAAAGGGTAACTGACATTTTTGAAAATACGCCTTATTTTAGTGAACTGAACCTTTTGAAAACTCCTTCTGACAATTGCAGGGGAACAGCACCAAGTGAGGGGACCATTAACTCTATAACAATCCACATGTATTTTAAAAGGTCTAATCAGCAGTGAAGGATGCCTAGAAATCTGTATTCATCACAAGCAAGGAAGAGCCAGGCAGAAACAGAAAAGGACTGTACTAGGAAATGAATAAAATATGAAAGTGGAGAAGGATCACTCTGCTATGGAAGCCCTTGGTCTCTCTCACCTCCGTCTCCTTTTTTCCTCCAGGTTTCTTGTCTTCCATATTGTACCTATAATCTTTCTCCTTATCTCTCACTTTTTCAGAGTAACACATGTTGTACTAAATCAACTAACTCTCTGCTGATTCAGAGAATAAGAGAAAGTAAACTGACAATGAGATAAGCTCTCAGGCATTCACTAACTCAGATTAAACCATTTCTTCCTTTTTCATGGCTAGAGACAAATGAGAGAGATTCAGACTGTATTTGCATTGAAATGGTTCGGTGATAATAAATCAAACAGGGTGACAATAATTGAATTCATCCAGCGCGTCTCTGGGAACAGTGATTCAATACAGTCTTGAAATCTCTAGAGGTGGCCCATGGTCTGCCTCATTTTGGCACTTTCATGTCAATGCCCTGGTGAAGCAGTCCTCTGACAGTAAGGAGTCTGGAGTTGCCCAAATTGTTCATGGAGAGGTAAATGCTGTGGAATATCTCTAGACCCAAACCTTCTACTTAATTTACAGAGAAGGGTCTTTTTCTGGGTCTTCTTCTGGAGGCCTTCAAAAGCACGTATTCTCCTCATTGCCATTACAAGGAATGGAGGCTTCCACTTTAGAAGAGCTGGCTCACTAGGTGCCTGAAAATTTAGGTGCAGTATTAGTAGAGGAGGCAGATAGATTAGGTCCCACTCTAGAGATTGAGTCCATTTCAAATCTAATAAACATGAACTTGTCACTCCTCCTTCTTGCTATGCCTCACTGTAAAACCATTACACAACCTAAGGTTGGCAAGATTGGAAAAAAAAAACCCCACAGTTTGCAAATTAATGTCATTTGAGGATATTCCTCAGGCATTTGTATGCTAAACCTGACACATCCCTTTTTAGTTGTAAGTCCTCTCCTGGAACACCAGCTTTAGGAAGGTGCTTGTGCAAGATTACCTACATGGCCACTGAGCCAGATTGGCTTCTTCTGAGAAGTGTTTTAAGTGGTGGCTGGTTGATCACCGGCAGGAGTTGCCTGACTCTCTCCACTTGCTATGGAGATAGAAAGGCTCTACAGTGATTAGATGGTGCTTCAGCTACCTTGAGATGGTGCTTCAGCTAAATGCCTATAATTTGGTGCAGGGAAACAGGCTGAGGTTAATCACTGCATATATGGAAACATGTAGTCAGTAAAAAGAGAAGAGGTAAGTATCTCTGAAGAATGAATCCCACCTCTCCCAATTAAACGTTCCCAGACCAGGCACGTACTTAGGAGGCCTAAGCAGATGGTGTGAAAACCCCCTCCCAAACTGTCAAGAGCAAGATAATATGCTTTGATGGACATCACACCCACCAAAACATAAATTCAAATCTTGTCTTACTTCACAGCAACTCCCCCGTACAGATAAGCCCTTAACATGTACTAAGAGTGCTCCCATTGAGGATGACTGCAGGACGAGTCATTAAATTCACACCTTAGCTTACCACTGCCTGCCTTCACTGTGCAAACTCCTTCCCTCAGAGGCTCTTTCTCTGCTCTCATTACCTTCTAGTTCTCTACCTTCTTCCCCGAGGTCTCCATCCACCATCCACTCATACTGATTATCTCTCATCCCTTTTTTCCTCCCTCTCCAAGGAGTTACAGAGAGAGAAAGAAAGTGAGAGCTGAGAAACCTGTTTGATGTGTCAGTTTGCTGTAAATATTGAAATGTGTGCACAGGGCTTGCTATAAAAAAGAGAGGGAGAGAAAAAAACACATTTTCCACAATGCTCTGACATTTCTGTTTCGATTCTCTTTCCATCCATACTGCTTCCTTAGTGTAATTCTAAACAGGAACGCATGGGCTATGTGAGAGATTCTGCTTCGCTGAGCATCTTAAGTAAACAGAAGATTTCAAGAGCCATCTGGCTATCCTGTGCAGCAAACATGAGGGGAAATGATGTCAAAATTGGACTTTTCACATGGGTGATATACCAGCAAATTAACAATGTTATTTTAATGCAGATATATCTTTAGGGTGAGGACCTTGTATTCATTTCTCAGCTGCAAAATATACAAAATGAGAACTAAAACCATCTAAATGAATGAAAATCAATACTGTGTAGTTTAAATGGTGCAATTTTATTGTACTTAAAATACGACCCTCATCTACATCTTAGAGCATATTTGAACCACAAAACTGTTAGGTTCTAGTTAGGGATCTGTGGGTCTGATGCACAAGCTCTGGCAGCTCTAGTAATGAGAAGGTTAGATCTTGTCATCTGCTCTGCACATTTCTCTGTGAGAGGAGTCCTGCACCCACCAAGGGGTAAAGGGAATGCGAACCCATGTCTGGCCTGGCTGAATTCAAAATCCTCTCTCTGTATTGGCTTATACCAGCAATGATGGTGGGTACACACTAACGTGCTGCTGGTGAAGTGGCAGGGACAATGGACCCATGTTTGGTGCTGCTGCCTCTGCAACACCAATGACAATCTCTGGTGGTGGGGTAGGCAGTCAAGTTTTAAAATATCACGAGCTGGTAGCTTCAACACATAAGTCAGAGTCTGCAACTGAGGAGAGCTATACAGTATTTCAGTCACATTAAGAAGTATCTTTGCCACAAAGACATGATATTTATGGCTAAAATTTCTCCTTTTACCTTACCATATAGGTTTGGCCTCTCACTGTCCATCCGCTGCTTCTGAGCTTCCAAAAAGACTCGGATGTTGATCCCTTTTGCTACAGAAGCACCACTGAGGAACCGAGGAGGGATTTTAGTACAGACATCAGGTTCTTCTGTGCCAAACCCCAAGTCAAGCAGAATCTCTACTGGATCCTTTTCCCAGAGCGCCAGCCATTCAGTGATGCTGCGGTGAAAACATCAGGATTATTTACACCACTGTCTTGGTACTTTTCTCTTGCAGTAGCTAGCATATGATCTTGTTTTTAATAAATAATTCACTTCCCTTCTTCTCCCCTTTTGTGGAGACTACTGCTTAAGTGAAAGTAGTAATTTTTGGTCACATTGTTAAGAGATTAATACATGTTCCTCCCCCCAGAGGAATTTGGTGGCATTGGATCTAGGTAACTTAGCAAGAAGAACATTAATAAAAGGTGTAGGTTCACAGCTCTGCAGGCTCACTTCTCTCTAGACACAATACAGATAAGGCGTGCTGCAGCTGCCGTAAAACCTCGCAGCCTTTTACCTTCCAGCGGATTCAACACCCACCACAGTTTCAGGTAGGTTTTGGTTTTTTACTTGTTCAAATGTATTTGAGATCAGACACCTGTTATGAAGAAGGTCATCTTGATCTTGTTAAAATAAATGAGGACATGCCTTTTACAAACTAAGACCTTGACTGCATATTCAGAATTCAAAATTGTCCTCGCATTTGTAGATCCCTAAATGGGCTAATACCTTGTATTCTTAGCTGGAAATATACGGAAATAACTCACCTCTGGGGTGCACCAGTGGGCAGGTGGGAAGAGCTGAGACTCTTGCATCTTGACATAACCGTACTTTCTGAAAACTCTTGCAGGGACCTGGTTGGAAAAAAGCAACAATGAAGTGTGTTTACTCACATGCTCCTCTGGCATATCATTATGATTTTTTCCTAGAGTAAACATTTGCATTTTGCCTTGGTTTGTAATGATACATAATAGCAATGCCTTAGAAGAAGAGTCAGCATGAGAGTGTAGCAATACGCTTATTCTCAAGAACAGTATGTTACAGTAGGTGTGAGAATGTAGGTGTGAGGTACCAGTAAATGCTAATTATAAAGGTGGCAGAATGGCTCACATTTGACAGATGGTGAATCTTTGGGGAACCTTTAGGGAGCACAGTATCTCTAGTCACCTACTTGAAAAGATATAATTGCTCTTAACATCAAAAGGTTTAATTGCTCTTAACAAAGTTTTGGAGAGACAAGGCACAATGAGTTGCAGCAGCAGGAGTTGCACCTGAGAACAAGTCTGTGCTTCACTTGTCACTGTGTTTGTATCTGCTAATCCACAGACAAGTAACTGCTTTTCAGAGCCTGCTTAATGCAAAAGGAATATCCTGCAGCATGGTAGTCTTTCTCAACAGGTAAGATGGCGTGCATTTGTTATGCCCAAGCTTAACGTCACCTACACATACCTATCAAGATCTGTAGCAAACGTTAATCTACAGTGGAAACACTGTATCGATCATTTCTTATCATCATTGCAGGTTATCCATCAGCTCACATCTTAAACAGGCCTGGAGGGATATGTAGATTTTTGAACTAACACTGTTGCTATCAGTTTGAGGGAAGAAAAAAAAAAAAAAAAAAGAAAAGAAACTAAAACTTATCCTTTTGTCAAAAAGAAGAGAAAATAATTCATAACAGATCTCTGCAGTGTCTGCACCTACCTCCTGTAGCTTTGCACAGTCCTTTTTACCATTTCTGGTACTGACAAGGAAACTGCAAACAAGAAGAAATAAAATTAATTTATTTTCTTACCTTTTTCCCCCCTCAAACCAGAAATGTGTCAAACTAGAGAAAAGGCCAAAAGACTGATTGCATTATATAAGGAAACATTTGAGCTGGAGTGGCAAAGTTGCAGAATGACACCATTGTGGGAAGTTCAACTCACAGTGTATGAATGTTAGTCATTGGTAAATGCAACACATGTCAATAAGAAAGGGAAAACAGGTGCCTTTACGTTTCATAAAGCAGTAGCAGTACACTCTAAGTCCCTGCTATTTAAAAGTAAGCGCTATGAATTGGGCTCCACCATCTGCTGCAGAGCCACTGAAGATATACACAGAGCAAATGTGATGAAAATAACTTTTAATCCTTTTTTAGTAAAAAAATACAATTGAAATATATTATTTTAAATCCTCATTCCAGCACATGCTGGTACAACTTTTCTGTCTATAATAGTTTTTCAAGTGTAATTCACTGAAATTTTGTGAATACTGATTTCTATGGGCTTTGCATCATGCTCTAAATGTGTTTGAAAGGAAGGAAGCAGGACACTCGCAAGAGTTTCTGGAGGAGAAAATACTTGTCCAAAACTGATAACATTGTTTACTGGACTCCAGATGTGCTGCACCTATGAGCTGTAAGGTGCATATTTCATCATTTCATGATGATGAAATGGGAATAAATCAGATGCAAATACACAGTGCCTGTAGTTGTTTCTTCACCTCCTAACACTGACATAACACGCTTGTTGATCCTCTGAAAGCCAGGGTAGCATTTGTCTAGGAGTAGCAGTAGATATCTTTCTGCATTCCTCAAGATGAATATTTTTTTGTCTAGCTTTTAAAGTTTTCTTTTCTATTTAACAAAATTGTGTCAATAAAGAAGGAGAAAACATCCTTTCACATTCTCTACTGGATTATTCTTCCGCTCGTAAATTCTAACATAAGTTCCTTCTGGCTTACTCAGTGCAAGGATATCCATCCAAATTGAGAACATAAAGGTTACTGACATCCTGTAATTTGCTGTGGTAACATAAACCAGACTTTCTAGCAGCAAACTGAGCATAATTTGAATAAGAATCAGCTACTTCTTGTATACCATTTCCTACTCATGTGCCAACAGAAGCTGTAGATTCGATATAAAAATGCTTGAGAATGTGAAAAATAAGATCTGAAAGTGAAAGTTAATACAATTTTTCCCTAGCAGCACGTAGGCACTCCTCTCTGTAACAGAACATTATACCACAAACTGGCTGCTGCTGTGATTTCCTCAACATCTCCTGTTGTCAGGACTGAATGAACACAAGTGCTGCCAAATTAAAAACCTAGCACTGTAAAACACTGGCCAGGGTGTTAAGTAAATAATTTAATGATGAGAAACCTGGTGTTTCTAGGAGGTGTAGGAAGTAACAGGTCATCAAAAAAATCAAATGGGCAAAACTTGACAGGTTACCACAAGCTGGGTAAGAGGCAGTAGCTGGTATGGCTGTACTCTCAAACCAGGCAAACACAGGGCGTGACACCTTTCATTGTAGACTAAAGTAAGTTGAATTGGTCTGCATTTCTGTGGGTGAAGAACACACCAATGTACTGCTCCTACAGCCATCCAACCTGTTAAGAGGTAGTAAACTGCTCAGGAGCCCGTGTCCACCTCGTAACTTGGACAAACTTTGCACCTCCAGGTAGTGTAACATGGGCCATTTCACTCATGGTTTGAGTCGCCACTTCTTTCTCTAATGAGAAGACTCTCATGAGAAGTTCCTCATTAAAGAGCTTGACATTTTCTAATATTAGAGTTTGTTTTCTCCACATTTAAGAGGTCACAGAAATAGTAATGGGGAGGGTACGGTATTTACATTTCCTGATCTGTGTAAGTATTTTGTTCCTGACACAAGAAACACTGAATCTCATTACCAAACTGGAAGACACTTTGGGGGAAATAATGCCCTTTAGAAATCTGTCAGAAAACCTTATGAAAACAAACAAACAAACAAAAATTACTTTGTAAACCAACTGTAGTGCTAATTGGTGCTCTGTTTACTGCACATCTAAGTATGTCTTTGCTTATGAATAATATATTTTGCTAAGCAAAATGTGGCCTATGATACTTGAGGGAAGATAAGACATTTTAGCCTCAGTAATCTCTGATTAACAGGAGACAAGATTAAATCAAATATTTTTGAACCACAACTTCTACTTGTGAACCCAATAAACAAAAAGTGTAGATACGGAAGCACTGAAAAATAATATACTGGGCTTCCAAAAACACTAAAAATGTGGGCATTCTCAGGAATATATGAGGAGCTGTGGGGTGATTTGGGCTTCTGGCTCCTTTCCTAAAAAAATAGTCTATTAATTCACTATATTCAGCAGATCAGGAAAGTAGATGAGAACAAGCAGGAAGTTCTGCATTCAGGTCAGGCAGAATTGCAGTCACATGAAACTTGTACCGTAACTTCCAGACCATTGTGCAAACCCGTCCTAGAAACCTCCACTCCTTCAGTAGAAGAACATGAAATCATGCCAGCGGAGAAGGTGAGCCTAGGACTGTTCTGTTGAAAATCTCATGAGAGAATCTTCTCATTACAACTCCAAATGCAGGAAAAAATATACAGCTTATCCCTGAATATCACACTTCCCTAATAGCCTTCCCCTCCCCACCTTGAGGTCAGTGGTGCTTGATATCTTAGAGTTAAGCTGTCCTTATCAGAAATGACAAATGATGTTCTGTCTTACCCGCCTGTTCTTGGCCTTGCAGCTTATCCCCACTTGTAGATAGACTGTAAGATAAAAAAACATTAAAAAAAGACAAAAAAAATTAGATTCCACCAAAGAACAGCTGCTCTTTCCTGAGAAGAGACGAATGAGGTCAGGGAGGCAGTCCAATGGGCAGAACCATAGGGTCATCTTATTTTCTGCCTGTGAACATCACCTACACCTCCCCTCAACATATATCAGCCTCTGTTAAGTACTGAGATTCAAATCTTGAGTTTAGGCTTAAGGCAAAGACGATGAAATTTTAGCATTCTGCATGAGTAAAGTCTGTCACTTCTGAACTTAAATTTTACTAAGAATCTAATTAAATCAGCTTATCCAGGGCAGGATTGAGAAGAATGGAAGCAAAAGCCTTTTCAGTGCATCACGTAAGAGGCAGCTGTATGATAGCTCTCAGCTGATGTGTGTCTGCATGGTGACATGGTAATTATTAATGACACCAGTAACAACAGCCAGCCCTGCAATGCATGAGTTTGGCTGACTTGGGCTTACCCTGCTACTGGGAAATGCTGTTACGACTGTCACGTAAGATTACTGTTTTTTTTTTTGCTCCTCACCATACTTCCAAACATCAGTCCTAAGGCTGTGTCTTTTTTCCCATGCCACACCCCCCGCCCTTCTCTGGCACAATCTTGCCTCTAACCAAATACACTTTAGCTGCATTTGCTTAAGCGGTGAATTCGTGAAGTCATACTGAAAATTTCCTGGGAAATACCAGTCTTTCAAACTTCATTTTTATCCTGAAGAAGGATAAAAAGTTTTAAAAAATTTTGGTGAACAAAATACATTCAAGTTTAAGTAAGTTCAAGGTTAAACTATATTCCCCTGTAGTAGCGCATTGCCTCATGGAGTTGTAGGTGCGTGTAACCACAGTTTGTGCCATAAATCATGCTCGTGCGGCTGGCTACATCTCCCTTGGGGCACACAGCATTGTGAAATTCTCATGATGTAGCAGCTAGCTCGATCAGAAAGCTATCCAGACACATGCTGGGAAATGCTATCCTTCAAAGAATACCCTGGAAATGAACAGAGCACTGACATACATTTCTCATGAGGCACTGGGTCATAAGCAAGACATCATTTCAGACTGAATAGTTGTGAAAGAATATTTTGATGTAGTTCAACAAAATAAAAAGCTCATTCTTTGGTTGAAATGAGCCAAAGCAGAATATTTTGTTCTGAATTTTCAGGGGTCACAATTTTCCTACTGGAAACTTCAATATTGCAGACATTATATTTGCTGTTGGAGAAATCAGGCAACAAATAATTAAGTAATAATGTGACCAAAGCTTACAAAACACAAGAATTCAACCAGTGATGAATATTTTCTTCTACAGAGTCTTCTAAAAATAAAAGTAGAGCTCTTAGGTAAATAACTGATGAATCAATTTATAACAATTAACCACCCTATGGTAGGGTTTCATTTTTGCTGAATACTGGAACGTATGGGAAATATTGGGAGAATCTTCTGAATTATTCTTTTGTCTCTATTATCTGCCAGTCATCCGTATTCTGGAAGTATCTAGCAGCCCTAATGAAAATGGAAAACTATCTGCTCTGATTCTGCATGAATGCATCCTGACGCACATTTCCCGCATACCTTGGAAGGGGGGAGACAGTCCACTCTGGTGTGGAGGAAGGATTATCTCCTCCTTTTTACCAAGCACGCAGGAAACCTCCAGCAGAGCCAGGAACAGATCCCAGCTCTCCTGCTTTTCCGTTCAATTTTTCAACCTGGAGGTAAGCTAAGATGGCTCAGAACTATTTAACTAATTGCTGAAAAATGCTACGGGCAGGCTTCTCTCCCTGTAGGTTCCACTGAAGCTACTGAGACCATCAGTTTAAGGAGCAGCCTTGCTCTCCATGAACGGAGTGAGGGAAATGGTGATCTGCAACACTGCTCAGATAAAGAGGGAGGCAGTTTCAATGCATTCTCGCCTCCTGGATTAAATGGTGTAACTCTCATTAATACAGTGAAAAGATATGGAAAGACTGCAGCAATGAGAAGTTTTTACACTCAAGTCTTTAGCGATCTAATTTTGACCTGTAGAATACAGTGCACGTGGGTTTGCAAGGTTACTCTGTTTTTTGTTGAACTACAGAGCAACAGCGTTGTTTGAAGACTGTCAGTCTCTGTCTAGCTGCAACCCTGAAAGCTCATTACTCATGCACTGAAGATTAAGATCTCCCAGTAAGCCAG